TAATAAGTATGTTATTACACAGATATTTTGATATTCTCGATCACTGCCGTGTAAAATCTTAACTTACTTTATTCACTACTCTTACCGTTTATCTAAATTTGGCAAACTTTTTGTGTTATTGGATGGTTTTCAGAACGAGTCTCTGGCTCGATCAGTCTTTTAATAGTGCGTATACTTTCATCTGTTTGATGATTTTGTGTGAAAAAATGACCCATGTTTACTAAAACAATGAACTAGTGGACTACATAATACTGACATACGCAGAGTGCCAACAGAATTCAGCCGAAGAATGCAGGTTGTACTCGGAAAGGTTCCCTTTAAGAAATCATCTGGCCCCACGGATGTTTGTGAATTTATTTATTAGATTTCGTGACAGGATATTTAAAAGAACTAGGAGGTTACAAATTGAGCAAAGCATTTTAGAAGTGGTCCAGGACGACATAACAATGAGTACTAGAGCCATAGTAGTTCAACTTGAAGTTTCCCATAGTAAAGCGTAGAATACAATACGACAAGAACAGTATTACCCTTATCATTATCAACGGGTACATGCGTTGCAACCTTAAGCTCATCCTAGAAGACTTGTATTTTGCCATTGGTTTTTAGAGCAGTTCGGCCGAAATGAAGATTCAATGAAATTAATTCTGTTTTTTTGATAATTTTCAATAATGTAAAATATAGGTGATTTTTGTTATATCAACCTTTTGTGTCGAGTTCTACAAGCTGTTAAAATAAATGACTCAACTTTGAAAACACCCTGTATGTCACTGTAAGTTTTCAAGATGCACGTATATTTATTATAACCGTGATCCCCTTTCACAGTCACTAGGTTTATTTTTATTTATTTTACATAAGCCTGTATACCTTTTTCCATATATATATAAAATTAAAGCTTCCGCCTTTTGTTGGGTACTTCAACAAAATTTAAGCAAATAGGACTCTTTATACTTTTTTAATTCTCTCTAGCTTTCAATGGACTTTGCCATCATCATCAGGAGCTGCAATTACAACGATAACAGTAGCAACAAAAGTGTAAAATGAATTTAAATTGACTCAACTTTTTGACTCATTTTACACTTTTGTTGCTACTGTAATCATTGTAATTGCAGCTCCTGATGATGATGGCAAAGTCCATTGAAAGCTAGAGAGAATTAAAAAAGTATAAAGAGTCCTCTTTGCTTAAATTTTGTCGAAGTATCCAACAAAAGGCGGAAGCTTTAATTTTTCACCTAACTGGTCTAGACGACAATGACCACGTCTCAAGTTATATATATATATATATATATACAGAAGTTGTTATGTATTGAAGTAGATAACAGGTTATGGGTACGCAGTTCATGATTCATGATTTACCATCATACCGGACGTTTAATATTCAACCATCACTATTGGAATCTCGGAAACAGTAAGAGATACAAAGTCGCTTAAATGGAAGCAAAGTTGCGTATCCAGGTAACTAACAAAATAGCGCTCAAAAAACTCAAAGTACTTCTGGAGACAGTCCATTTACTAGCTTTTTCTGTATAACATATGTTTTCATGTCAAAAAAAATCGTTTGTCTGTTAAATATATCATCACAATATTATGTTAACCCTTAAGTGCATAACGTATCATATCTGATACACCTCAACATATGTTTTCATGTCAAAAAAAATCGTTTGTCTGTTAAATATATCATCACAATATTATGTTAACCCTTAAGTGCATAACGTATCATATCTGATACACCTCTTTTTTGGAGCATGTGTCTCTATCTGTTAGCAGTTGTACCAACTATACCATGTTACATTTGTTTAACAGCATGTACTTAAGGTTAAAATGGCCAAAAGCAGGGTCTTCATCTTTTCTTTGATTTAGTGTGATTTATTTTATGACAGCGAACACGTGCACTCAGGCGTCATTACAATTACCGAATCGTTTAGTAATTTTTGTCTAGTATTTTTCTTTTATTTATGAACAAATAAAATCATTGTGGACCTTCACCCATGTATATAAATAGATCATGTTTATATAATTTACATACGCATTTTGCGTCTAGGGACTTTCATATTTAGCGTTTTAAGTGTGTATCATATGTGATACAACATGCACTCAGGCAGTATATTTTTTTTGTAGACAATGAGCCGTTGGTGGCAGGAATATCAAAGAAAACGGCCTTGTAGCAATACTGAACGGTTGGATATTGCAAACAATCTTCTGGAAAGTGAAGATGACATCGAGCTGGAAGTTTCTGAACAGGAAGATGACCCATGGGTATCGCTAAATGACCTAGGTGAAAGTTTTTCAGACGAAAGTTCGCCTGAAGAGCCTCTAGATAATTCTAAAAATATGTCACGGCAATCCCCAGTTTTAGTTGCACCCCCTGTTACACCCTTAATAAATAGGCCAACCAGCAGTACTGACTTCTGATGGAGAGTAGTAAGAAATTCCTTTGGAAAAACTCTAACAGTTCCTCAAGCAGATAAAGAGTTCCTTGGTGACACGACCATGCCAACAGAAATTTTAGAGCTGGATACGCCCTACTGATTTTTCAATTTTTTTCTTTTTGATGACACTGCTTGATAAAATTGCAGAAGAATCTTCCCTATATAGCGCTCAACGTAATCCCAATAAGCCGGAGTCCATAAAAAGTGGAGATGTACAAAACATTTTTGGTATATGCATTTTTACATCAGTTTCCTATTGCACAAAGGTTATGTCAGTAAATAGTTTTTAAAAATTGCGTCCAAATTTGCATTTCAATAATAACGAGACACAAGTTCCTCCAGGCTAACCAGGATTTGACAAACTTCATAAAATTCGACCAGAAATAAAAAAATTACAAGAAAGGTTTTTATTGGCTCCTATTGAAGAAAGCTTATCTGTTGATGAACAGATATGTGCGGCCAAGCTTAGACACCATTTAAAACAATATATGGCAAATAAGCCACCTAAATGGGGGTTCAAATTATTTTTTTTATACGGAGCTTCTGGTTATGCCTTTGTGTTTGAAATATACACTGGACAAGAAAACAATCCAAATGAAAGACCTACACATGAACCAGACTTTGGTGCTAGCTCAAATGTTGTAGTTCGTCTAGCGAGAAGTATTCCAAAGTATAAGCAGCATTAAATGTACTTTGATAAATATTTCACGTCATTGACACTTATGGCTTTCTTACACAAGCAAGGCATTTTGCCACTTGGGACAGTAAGACGAAATAGAATTCCAATTGTAAACTACCAACAGAACAAAACATGAAGAAAAGGACCCAGAGGAAAGTCAGTTGAGTTCGTTGAAAATGTTGATGGTGTAGATGTCGCTTGTTTATCATGTAAAGTCAATAAAATTGTAAACCTAATGTCTACATTTTCGGGACAGCAACCATAAACGACCGTTCGAAGATTTGATCGGAAAAATAAAGAATATAAAGAAATAAAATGCCCCGAAGCAGTTACAATTTAAAACAAGCATATGAGCGCATAGATCTGTTTGACTGCCATATCGGGCGTCACAAAATCAAAATTAGGTCCAAAAACGGTATTTTAGATTATTTTATCAAAATTAGGTCCAAAAACGGTATTTTAGATTATTTTATCACTTAATCGATATTGCGATAGTAAACGCATGGCTTCTTTATAAAAAAGTCTGTTTGACTAAAAATATTAATCCAATGGACCAAAAAACTTTTAGGATTATTGTCGTTTAAACGCTGTGTACAATTGGAAAGGGATCAAATAAAAGAGGGCGAACATCAAACATTGATATACAAGGAGCTTTAGAAGTAAAGAAACGAAGAAATCCAGCTGCTACAATACCACCTTTTGATGTAAGAAAAGATGCGATTGAGCATTGGCCAAATACAGAACGGTGCAAAAATCCTACATGTGAAAGTTTGACATATGTATGTTTCATGTGCCACAAGTGTAAAATACACCTCTGTTTAAATAAAAAAAAATAACTGTTTTCGCGTTTTTCATATAAAATAGCCTTTTTGTATGTATTCATTATTTTTGCCAATAAAGTTATAAACTTAAACTTTTTTTATTTAAAAAAACAAGAAAGATTTTTTTAATAATTTTTTCAGTGTAAATTTGACACAAAGAAATATGAAAACATTTTTTGAGCTAAACAAAAAATCATGCATTTAAGGGTTAATTTACGCTATTAGTATTGTAAAGTCATGGCATATCAGGAAAATATTCACATGACTCAGAATGTGATCTTATTCGCATTTTCAGCAGCGTACTGACACTTAAGTTACCTTTTCGCTTCAGCTATGCAAAAAGCATATCGAGCAGCCTGCGTGCCCGATTTAAATTCAAATTAGCATCAAACGCACATCCGTCGGAAGGACTCCCTCTGCGTCAAGCCATAGGGAACACTTGTAACGGAATGCCATCGGCGATAATAACGGTACGTTATCCTCGGAGACGTTTTTTCATCTCTGTCTGATCCCCGGGGTTCTCCCCGGGATCCCGCCATTATTTTACGTCGAGATCCCGAAATCACGGCACCGGCAGCAGAGCGAGATTCGGGGATTACGGCAGGTGACGCAGCCGAATCCACCCGATACGGAGCTACGCTGTACTACTGTGAGCTTAAGATCCCCTTGGCATATAGTAGAGGAAATTCGGTGAATATGGAATACCCATTCTTATTATGCACTTATAGATTACTACAATAGAGTAACAATCGATAATAATAAGGATATGGGTGGCCAAATGCATTCATTTTACGAAAAAAAAATATATTTAGCAAATAACATGTAGTCGAAAAATGTCATTTAATGTCATGTCATTTTTAGGCGCCAAGAAAACTGGCGAGTAATATGGAATAGCGTTATCTGGTAACAGGTACAAAACAAAAACTATAAAGTTGTTTATTTTTTATTTGGCAACGTGAGAGAACTACTATTTACAAAAGTCGCATATGTATGTTTCATGCTCGTTGCCTGTACAGGCTTCATGTGCCCAGCATTCGCACATGACACATTGAATCCAAATTTCTCGGCTTTTACTTTTAGAAAATAATTCTTCACAGAAAATACAAATCACATCTGAGTTAGGCTCTTTAGAAGCCAAATAGGCTACGGGAATATCATCGTCCGAAGAATCTTGATCGCTTGCTCTGGATTTTTTCCCAACTAACTTGGCCAGCGGGAAATTGTCGTCGGATGAATGTTGTGATTCTGAACTTGACGTTGTTGGCTTTCGTCTTTTGCATATTTTCTTGGGCATGGACCTGATGCCACTAGGTCCTGATGTGTCATCATCAATCCTTCTTACAACCTTTTCTTTCTGCTTTAAAGCAACTGAAATACTTTGGTCTAATTCGTTCTTATTTGGCGTCGGGAAGGACAGTGATATTTAGATCATCGACTGATTCCATTCTTGCTTCGTTTTGAGGCTGACTTTCTGCTATAAAGGCTTGTTCTGAAAAGATATTTCGCTTAACTGGATAAATTCCAGTAGCACTGTAGACTTTCGCTGCTCTCTCTCCTGTCTGGATTTTTAAATAGGCATTTCCGAATAACTCACATATGTCGAAATGAGTTATCGATCTGTTAGTCGTTCTCATAAAAACTCTAACTTCTTCACTGTAATCAGTTTTCAGAGCACCCATTACAGTCTTATCGAGCGGTTGCATTTTGTGCGTCGTATGAGGAGGCCAACAAATAATCGACACAAAATGTTCCTTAGCTTTCAGAATGACATCCAAATTTCTGGTATGAGTATGATGCTCATCTAATAACAGCAATATAGGACTTTCTTGAGTGGGTTTGGTGTGCTCTAAGAAATGGTCGAACCATTGGGTGAACAAGCCCATTTGGATCCACCCAGATGGATGTAAGGCAAAGAGGGACCCTGGTGGAGCCCTTTTTTTAAGTTGCTCGCTAGATTTTTTTCTAGGAAAAATGATCATAGGGGGACGAATGTCCCACCTGCGCTCATGCAGGGAATAACTGTAACAAGGGACCCCCCTTCTGCTGAGGTATATGCGCCAACTTGCCGCTTCCCTCGCATTGCGATAACCTTCGGACATCTACAGGGTGCGGCAGAGAGGATGGACCGTTTTAAAAAAATCATAAAATAGTTAATTTTTACTCAAAAACAAATTTATTGATGGAATCACGTTCACAAGGAAATAGCATTTGAGATAGTCAAGTGTGGAAAATCACATCAGGCATGTTGTGGCCAAAATCGTTGATGCAGTGCTGGAGGCGTTCTTGGAAGTTCGCTTTCGTAACTGTTGCACAATGGCCAATTTGTAGGGGTCGTCTTACCCAACGATCACTAAGGCGAAGTGCAGCAGCATGTTTCCGGGCAGATCGAGTCGAGTCGAGTTGGACGAAGAATGACCTGTCGAACGCGTTCAACATTTTCAGGAGTTCGAACTGTTCGCGGCGCTCCTCTTGGTCTTCTGTTGATCAGTTCACCACGCCTGCAAAGTGATTCAACCCAACGAAGGATGGTGTTTCGAGAGGCAACAGCTCTATTCCGATGAATGTTGAAGTGGCGACGAAACTCACGCTGTACGACGATGACTGACTCATTATTTCGGACGAAACAATCATAGGCGAAAACGCGGTGCTCCAACGTCCAAGGCTCCATAACGACAACTGGTAAAATAATGCTAGGATCTCACGAGTCAAACGGCACCCTCCCCACCTCTCTCGTAGACCTAGGCGGAGAGTACTACCCATCCCAAAAACGTCCGTCCTCTCTGCCGCACCCTGTACTTTGTACTATGCATGACTCATGTCTATGTCTCATCGACGTTATAGATACGATTAGGTGTGAAATTATTTTCTTCCATGAGGCTTTCTGACAAGTCAAAGAATTGAGTGACATTTGCACTATTAAAGCTGACTGCTCTTGCCACTGAAGTTCATGTTGGCTTTCTTACGCTGAGGGTGTCTTTATGTCGTTCTAGAAAGGCATAAAGCCAATCCTTGCCCGCGAGTTCGTTCAGAAGGGAAAACGTATGCTTTAAATTATTACGTGTGGCCAGCTGAAAAGCCATTCTACGTACGTCCCGGCATGTAAGGCCGCAATATTTCCGTTCCATTTCTAGAAGATAAGTTACCAATTATTTTTCTAGGGCTGGTGGTAAAACTGGCTTTCTTCCAAGTGATCTTTGTTAATAAAATCACCACCTTCCTTACAACAGCGAAAAAGTGTGCGCCAAAATTCTTGGAAGCCGCTAAATAACCCATACTGTTTGTTCTTACAGCATCTATTGCATTGCGCATACTATCGACATTCCAAGTTTGTCTTTTAGCTTTAAGAAGCTATTTAGGTGCCATTATAAGTCTGTAAAAAAATTGACACTGTAAGTACTTCTGGATTTCGGGTAATATGGAATATCGGTTAATATTGGATATTCCATATTACCCTCATCACATAGAGGTTATGTGTTCGTATACTGAGGTGATATTAATTACATTTCCAAATATTTATAATAGCTGGTGCATGCACTGATGTCTATAGTGTACGTACCTGATCGGCAAAATAAATTTCCTCGTAAAGCTTCAAAACTATGGGAACAAATTTGCAGCGTTACCGACACTCCGCATGCTCGCTGGAAAAAACTTTTGCTAATAGCCGCTCGTCGACGGTAGAGCTAATTGACCGAGTAAGGTGGCGGCACGTTTTCAATAGGCGAATAGTAATCGAGGTAGCGCTAGTAGAATATTGAAATAAACGCTATCCCATATTACCCGGACTATTCCATATTCACCGAACTTCCTCTACGGTTAATCTATAGTAAGGTTTTCTTAATTTTATACAGGGTGTTGATTAAGTATGTATACCATAAATTTAACAGACGATTCTTTGAGTAATTTTGAGACAAAGAGTTCATACAAACAAATTCTTCGTTCTCAAGATATAAAAAGATTAAAAAGAATGTGTTTCGTAAATTTCTTAAATATCCTTTAACTAATTTTATTGTTATTTGGTGGAAGTATTTATAACATCAAGGAGCTAATTACGTCATAACTTGATTAAAGTCCAGTGGCGTCCCGAGCAGGATCTGAACGGATATTTGGCTCAAAAAAATGTACGCCACCGACTCTTATGCAATTTTTATTATGTTCTCTGTATTAGGCAAATAGAAATACAACTTTTTTGTCTTTTGATTTTTTTTTCGTATTGCATTGTAACGTGCCAAAATCACGTAATCTTTTTTTACTATTTTGATCACTGACCAGTAATTTGAATTTCTCTTTATTAATGATAAGAGTACCGATTCCTAGGCGGAGCTCTTTTCAATGATTTCCTTTTGGAAAATTTCATAATTTATTGACCTATTGAGCTCGAAACTACCTAATCCTGAAAGTATGATTTCACGCATATTATATCCTTCTTTCTTAGCGACTTTTGTTCTTTGGTCACACATATTTTATTAACTATTCTCAGAAATTTCCTCATAGAATACTGTTGGTCCCTCGTAGACCCCTTTACCCGCATTATTTTGGGAAATAGTACGGTTCTGAGGTCTACCCATAGGCAACCAGTGATGTTCTGTGTAGGTTCGACTATGGAACTTTTCTTGAAATTCGGGTAGGTGATCATTTCCGGTTGAAGCGTTGACTGGGAACGTATATTGTCGGCCATTCAATGGACTCCCAGATTTTGCAATATTTTGCCCCAATCACTAGTTTATGGAGTAGCACTCTTTCTTGTACCCGTACCCACCTTTCCCCTTGAATAACTTGTATCCATAAAACCAGACTTTACAATTATTTCAGGAAAATTTGCTAATATGATTAGACTATCAGACATACAGAAAAACACTGAGAGTGGTTGCAATGGCTATTTTTTAAATACAGGATGTTTCCAAAATATGGAAACAAAATGTATTCATTAGAATTGTTTGATTCAGATATACGTAGTTAACAAAATGTATTCATTAGAATTGTTTGATTCAGATATAGGTAACCGTTCTGTGATTTTGCAGTAAAAGAGGCTTATTATTTTTACACAGTTTTATAAATTTGGAACCAATTCTGAATACTGATTCCCCTGTCTCGAAAATTTGATAATTCTCATAACAGATCCGTCATCAGCGACCTGCAAAACCATGGATATTCTTTCTTAAAAGCGGTTGATATCGAAATCAAACATGAAACATCAGACAACCGCAGGTAGCATTAGATTGCTGTAGATGGAACGTTCAACACTATCGAGGCACATCTTCCAATTTGCAAAAATATTATTTTTAAGTCATTATTATATAAAAGTGTAAACAAATTAGCAATATATTGCGTTTACGGCTAGCGTGCTTCTAGCGAACTAAGTTAGTTAATAGTTTTCATCGGATTATATAGCCGCCTAAGTTCTAACACAACGTAGCTCAAAATTGAAAAATTATTGAATCAGCAAAAAAATGGCTCCATTTTTTACGTTACGCGATGCTGAAACTGAAGCAGCGATACGTGAAAATTGCTTAAGAAAAAGCTATTTCCGAGATGTCTCTTCGAGGGGCCTGTTTCTCCGGAATCAAGAGGTGTTTCGCCAATCGAGAGGATCAAATATAAATAGTCAGAATAGTCCCAAGAGTCACAAACTAAATTCTTGCCCCATGTTTAGGAAACACCCTGTATATAACTAAACTGATACAATACCATCATGCTAAGTTACAAGTAAAAAGTGTCATGATGCTTACGACTTACCGTCTCCGTTCAATTAAATTAAACCGCTTTTCTCTGATTTTGTCCATCACAAAGTATTTTTATCAAATTTACTTAGAACGTTTAAAACGCTACCGAAACAGTTTTTTCTTAAACTCCTGTCCAAATGTCATAATTTTCAAGGAAATACCTTAATCATAGAACACACGAAGCTTAATTTCCAATAATGCATTATCGGCTCGGGTATCATGTAAAAAACCTATAAAACGTCAAAAAAAAACCTATACGATGTCAACTTGCCAACTAGGTAGTTCTTAGAGGGCATACAGTCATTCCATGTTTGCTCACAAGGATCGTTGTGAACGTCCATCTATGGAGGAATCACTCAACTAAACTACACGCATTATTGGTTGCATATGTTTTGTGAGGCTGAGTGGTCCGCGTCTGTAGTCTTGTGTATAAAATCAGTGATATTTGCTGTGTGAGAAGATCATTACTGAATATGGTGAATATGACGAGTTATTTATATGGTGTGGTTTCTGAAGAGAGGTTATGTTCAAAGTTATAAATTACGAAAAACAGGAGAATTACGAGAAATCATCACCACGCCCGCGTTGTGTGTAATTACTCAAACATATATGGCTTGTACTTCGACAGTGTACAGTGAATATAATTATTTTTTATCTCTCTCATTTTTGAAATTCAGCTTTGTATATGTAATTTCCAGAATGGATAAGAAAAAGTGGATGCGCAACTAATTTCTAGCTTTGAATCTCGATTAAGTATATTTGAGACAAGAATCCAATAGAATTATTATCAACACATACAACTTATAGCTTAGACCTCCAGTAATGCCATCTCTGCAGCAGATTTTAGATCACATCAGAGCCAAACATTGATAGCTAAAGCCTCGTGAAGTTTAGGCAACACGTATAACTTAGTGCTAAGAGAATCCTACATAATGTCAACTAAAAATCGGTATAAAGTCAAAAAATCGATATAACTTTTCAGGATACATGATACCTGCGCAGGCATGCAGTGTTACGAGGCCGAAACACACAGAAATACTATTTTATTTATATTTGCGTCAAACTGATCATATAGGCAACCAGTGTTACGCAACTTTCATATTTCCACGCCATCATGGACGCGCTTACAATTTATGGTGATGACGCGCACGACCCCCCTGAATCCGAGCTGGACTGCAGGAGGAAAATTTCAAACTGAGTATTGTTGGTTTGATAAGCAACGCAACAGCAGTATGAGCAAGC